ATTAGTTGAGAATTGGAATACTTAGTGTGTCAACAAAAATAATGAATTCTGATATACTAATAAATTAATTACTTTAAAATCTTTATGCTTACGATTACATCTATGTATTTTGTATTTTCAAAGTTTAAAAGCGGTCATAGGACTTTTTTAGAAAATACTTTTGGCTTACCTTAGTGCGTTTATTCGGCACTGTGTTCTTCATATTTACCCCCCTGCGACTAAAACATGCTCCTCTGCAATAACGACACAACTAAAACTAAAAAAAAAAATCCTTACAACTGTTAAATTCCTCATGTCTCTAATCCTTCTCTTATCCATGTATAATCCTTATTACGTCCTTTACTAATCCTTGCCACTTACTTAAGTAAGGATAATTAGAGACACGATAGACTTAAGAGTAGTAAGAGCCTTTTTTTGAGCATGTTTTGTTGTATCGGGCTTTCAGGTCCTTCACCAAGAACAAATCTATATACTTGACATCAAAATTAATTCACTACAATTGCTTTTATGGCAATATCGACATTATGAAAAGCAGTTTTGGTAGGTTTATGGAAGACATACTTAAATTAATAAAAAGTAATGTAAAAAAATATTTTTTTAAAAATAAGCTTTTATTTAACATGTTTAATCAAAGGAATAAAATAAAGTAGTGAAAAACAAAAGATTTTTTAGCAAGAAAATTTTGTCAAAACTGCACTAAAATGAATAAAATAAAATAAGTTAAGGTCTCGTTAAAGTTACTAACGTTTTTTAAAAACGAAGTAAATTAGTACAAATTGTTAGTAATTTTCATTAGAGTTTGAATAACTCCTTTCACTAAATGGGCACACATTTAAAGACTTCTGCTTTCGCTACCTATAGATGTCCTTCTAGAAGGACTTTTAGAGAATTTCTTTCAAAGCTGCTTCCTTAATTCATAAAAATCATAAATCTTAAAAGCATTTGCTTAAGGTTTATATCAAATATGTTTTATTGCAACTTAAAAAGTATATCAAGATTCATTTGTAATGCTAATTAATATAAACTTATACATTCGCGTCAAATGTAAATAGGAAAAATCCTTCTAGAAGGCATGTAGGGCAGCACTTTGTTTAGCCCTTCTTGGGTAAGCCTTTGATAATGGCTTCACTTAGTGTGTAATCAGCTTTTTAAGCCCACTTAAACATACCTACATACCTACCACACTACCAAAAACTACCTAAAAAGTGTATTGAAATTTCATTGCTTTTAATTTTTTCTTCAATATTAGCCAATCATCACGAAAGCATTAATGCTTTTCAACAATTTCGGCATAAGCAACAATGTAATATCCATTTCTGCAGCCGAGTTCAGTTTAAGTATACTTCGTAGTTTGTTAAACCAATTTGGTGCGCAATTTATCAAAGACATGATCGCGCTCTACATAACAGTCAGCAGCAGGTTAGTGGTGCAGTTAACAGCCTATGAACTCTGTACAAATAAGTATTGCTGCCCCTTTTCTTGCAGAGAACAACTGAGTTTTAATCAGTTGGCAGTTTTGGAGAAAATATTGCAGATGTTCCAGATCATCGTACAGCAGCCGGGAAACACTTGGACCACCATGCTGCCTTCCATTTTAAGTTTCACCATTGACCAGGTGCTGCCTTTAATACAGCAACATGACTCCAGCTTGGTTGACGGCACTGATTTAAGCAGTATGGTCTATGTGCTCTTTGATAGGTGAAATTTAATGATTTTCAATGATATCATTTTACTATTTTTATGTATTTGTTGTGCAGTGTTTTGCTTCATAAGTGGCAGTATTTCTACAAACCGCATGTACAGTATAATGGTTCGCTGTTGCATACCAGTAGTGATAATATGCATCCAGAACATTTTATGGCCATTCTGAATGCTTACGGACAAGTGCTGGTGTCCGGCAATGATCCAAATCTCGTACGCAAGGTTTTGCTATCGATGCAGACTGTTAATGAGCGTTGGCGCCTATTTCAGCGCGCTCTCTTCCAAGACAGTCTACTCACCTCATTTCAGCGCGCACTAATAAACATATTACTATCTGGCGAGGGTTCACTGCATTTCGACCTATTGGCGAACGTACTTTACGCCATGGGTCAAGTTGATAATTTAAAGTTGCGCGAAAGTTTTGTAACGGCCGGATTTCCAGTGAATCCGAAATATTTGGACGTGATCTGCTTATCAACTGTAAGTGATATTCAATTTTAAAATGCGAGTTTGGATTTAAACATATTCATATTCTTTTTTTTTTAATTTTATTTTCAACAGGACATTCCAACATTTTCACAAAAGTTATCCCAACTGATACAGGATGCGCATAGTGTACATCTAACGCAAACATAAAAAAATCATAATTATCGTGACATTTTCATACGCCACTAAGCATGTGTAGAACATAAGTTTATATATATAAGTAAAGTATATGTATGTATGTAATAAATTTATATGTACGCATTTCGTGTAAGACAAGTTTACAGTTTTTAAATGACTGTTTTATAAATATTTGTATTTAACGCATATACATCGCTAGCTTAGAGTGCAAAGTTGGTAAGTCCAAATTTAACAATTGTCCAGGTGAGGAAAAAACTTCTTATAGCCATTTTCTTCAAGTATTTCGCAAAACTCTGAATACAACATTTTGCCGGTTTAAAGCAAAGCAAAACTCCATACAAATCAGAGGGATTCGATCTTTATTAAAAGCTTTCGAACTATTTTGGCCTTATCGAATTTTCGGAGCTTCATTTGGACTTTTGGCAAATTTTCCTTTCATTGAATATAAACAAGAAAACATAAAACAAGGACCGACCTTTACCCTTTTCGAAACGGTGCATTTTTTTATTTATCTAGCCTCCATTATCAAAATATGATTTTTCATAAAAAGTGAAGTTAGCAACTTTTCGCTCTAAGCTAGCGACATACATATGTGTTTATGTATGTGCATACATAGATTAAACGAAATGTACTGTATGGTATACATGTATTGTTACAACTACCATTAACTATTTTCATCTATCTTAATCTGCACAGCTGATATTAAGGTACATCGTACGTTGATTTTTTTTTTGTTGCCTTCGTATCTAAGTATTTTAATTGCATAATACATATCGCTGCCTTAATATAGAAAGGCCCTATCTGACATCGTCGCTGATATACAAAAAGCGGTAACTAACTAAAAGTTACGGCTTTGTGCATTTCAGCGACGATGTGAGATAGGGCCTTTCTATATTAAGGCAACGATATGTACATACATACGTATGCTACTATTTATACATCTTATTGTTCATTTTTTTTTTTGTTTGAACTCTTTACCTAATATACAGTTTATTGTAATTTATTATGTCACATGTGTATATGTTTATATAATTTTTACGCTGTCCAAATTTTGTTCACTTAATTTTTTATACAACTTTTGTTAGTTTCTAATTACCGTTAATTTAATTTGGTATGGCAATATCTTGCAATACCTATTGAGCGAAACCACTTCATTATCATAAGGTATCATTACAATAAAATCAAATTATAAAAATTGTTTTACATATGTAAAATGTGTACGTTTAGCGTTCATCCATAATGTTTCATGCGTATAACCCAAATTTTACGAAAATTCAATAAAATAAAATAAAAATACCTTTCTAGAAAAATGAACTATTAAAAATAAAGACCGTTTGTTGTAATTAAACCTATGCTGAACTTAGAATCAGACCATCTGCCCATAGTTATCTCGATTGATAAACCAGCCGACTTTGCTTCCACGGATCACCGGACTTATGTCAACTTCTCCAAAGCTGACTGGAAAGGCTTCGCGGATGTTACTGAAAGCACCTTCACTGCCCTACCCACACGAACCGACGTTCACGTAGGTGAGCTTAAATTCCCATGGTTGGGGCTGCTGCTGCCCCGTCCGAATTTTCCTGCTGAAGCAGCTGTCCTTGCCGATGAGCGTGACAACCTTTATCAGGCCGATCCCGGGAATCCCCGTATCAGGGATCTCAACTCGCGAGATTTGGCAATTAGTTCGTGAGGAAGAAGTGCGAAGAGCATCTGAAGACCTGCAACTTCGCCTCTGGTGTGAGTAAGCTCTGGTCAACCGTGAGGTCACTGTCCAAGCCGACGAGGCGCGACGATAGGGTGGAAATTTCATTCGATGGTCACACCTCGTCAGACCCGAAGAAATGCTATTTTAGCCGGCAGTTCATATTACATCCTCCGGTGGCTAAGGCCAAAAGTCCACTGACCAGAAGGCTGCACAAACTGCCCAAAAACCGTGCACCACTTACTTTCACCAGCGGTGAAGTCAAGGTGGCCATCGGGAAGGCGAAAGCCTCCAAAGCCGATGAACCCGACAAAATGTGCATGCCGATGCTGAAACAAAGCATATCTCACAGAGGTCCTTAACCTGTCAATGGCCATTCTCATCATTCCTGATGTGTGGAAACCGGGGAGAGTGGTCCCACTGCTTAAACCTGAGAAACCCGCTAACAAAGGAGATTCTTATCGCCGGATAATGCTCCTTTCCCCGGTCGCGAAGACACTAGAGGCCCTGCTACTCCCGTAGTTCATCCACCACCTGACCCCAGTGAAGCATCAGCATGGTGTCCGTAAAGTGCAAAGCACAACAATAGCACTTAACGCCATAAACACCCAGATAACTCGTGGCCTAAACCGCGACCTCCCCTGTGAGAGAACAGTCCTAGTTGCATTGGACTTATCAAAGGCGTTTGACAGCGTGTCATTGCATCGTCAGTAGTCTTTCGAGATCAAAGAATCAAATAAGAGGTTCCATAAGGTGGTGTCCTTTTACCCTTACACTTTGACTTCTTGTTAAACTATGCTGCGTCTGTTTTGTCGCCGGGGACTATTAGGACGCAGTTGATGAAGCTGCAGACCTGCCAAAACACGGCACTCAGGACAGCGACAGGATGCCTTCTGATGTCGTCGCAACATCGAACGCGAATTAATCGTAGCGCTTTCGACAGATGCAATATTTTGAAATGAAACAAAATGGTTTTGAAAGCTAATGTTATTCCCTTTCACGGAAAATACTACCATTGACCTACAATTACTCCTTGAGTTGTAAAAAATAGTGTTCTTCAAAAAAAAAAACATGTAAAATCCACTGGATTTGTTCCAAAAAAAAAGTTTTTGGATGTTTTATTACACTAACATTATATATTTTGAGGCGAGAAATACGATTCGACTGTATGTATAAAAATAGAAAAAAATTTAACACCTCAATTTAAGAAATGCATTTTTTTTATTTGCAAGCAGCTGTGCTATTCAAGATCTTTAATTTGAGCCAAGGGTGAAGTCTCAAGGCCCTTTGGGAGCCATTTTTATAACGATTCTGAAGTTAAGCTTCGACATTTTTGCATGTTTTTCTTCTAATTTCATTTTTCATTTCATTTTTTCTTTCTAATTTCGAAGTTCAAAAATTCATTTCTTAAATTGAGGTGTTAAATTTTTTTTCGATTTCCAAACAGTGGAATCGTGTTTCTCGTCTCAAAAGCTCTAAAATTATTCTATCTCTAAAATTATTAGTCAAGGAGTAATTTTGGGTCATTGGCAGTATGAAAGAGAATGAATTTCAAGAGGAAATGTTGGTAATTTTAACTCTACCTAGAACTCGAGCCACAAATGAACAAGAATAAGAGCTTTCAGCAAATTTATGGTCCTATCATACATGGCATTACATATGGCAACTGGCTACTGACTGGGCCCCTTTTTGAAGTCTCCCAACCATGGTACAATAAACCATTATTTATAAACCATTATTTATAAACCATTTATTGTACCATGCTCCCAACCAATTATTAAGGCGCATCCATACAAGGTGCTGGCAATTGCATATAAGTAAAAGTTCCGTGTATTTTGTTATTGCTTTTTGGTACATCAGGATGTCCAAACGAAAGGGAATAGGAGATAATTTTCGTCATTTCGATTTGTTGACATCCTAAAGTTGCGCCATTTCGTCTTGGAAGACATTCTCCTGTACTAGTAGAGACAAAAATATCCAATCAGCTGTTCAATCAACACCAACTTGTATTGATGCGCCTTGACCAATTATCTGGCAAGTAATTTTGACCTACCACTCAGTTGGATCCGGTTCTATTTATAGTCCGACTAACTTAAAAAAAAAATATTTTGCTAATAACTGTCGCCCTTTCCAGCGTATTTCGGCCATGGTAAAGTTTATATTTAAAAACAATCTGACTATCGGAGACGGCATAACACTGTACGTACCTCCAATTTTGTGATACCATCAAGAATCACACCACAATTTGTAAGAGAAATTCGGCCAAGCACTTGACGAAATTAATTCAGATTAAAATGTTTTATTCTTTCCTTTTATTTTTCTACTAGCGTACCACCTTTGCTGACATAGCGTACCCCCAATGCACTATGGTCTCAATGCCTGTTTTTCTTGCTGCTATATTTTAGATAATCAGGCACTTTGGAGTGAATTTCAACCCCTGCCAATTTTAATTTTCAAAGTCCCTTTAAAAGATCCTGACGTCAGAGAGAAAAACTAAAATCGAAATTTTACTGCATATATTTGGCCCATGGCTTCGCGAATATATTGACTTTTTGTGTGTAAAATTGCCTGTCGCACGTGTATGTATAATTAGCTTGACATTTATAAAAAAAATATTAAATATTAAAATATTACAACGATATAGACATAGTGCAGCGAATTAAAATTCAGCGGCTCCGCTGGCTTGGCCATGTCGTTCGGATGGACAGAAACGCTCCTGCTCTGAAAGTATTCAACGCGGGCCGCGATGCTGGTAACAGAGGAAGAGGAAGGCCTCCTCTGCGTTGGAAAGACCAGGTGGAGAAGGACTTGGCTTCACTTGGCATTTCCAATTGGCGTCAGTTAGCACAGAAGAGAAATGACTGGTGTGCTGTTTTGGACTCGGCCAAAATCGCTTAGGCGGTTTCAGCGCCAATTAAGAAGAAGAAGAAGAGATTAAATATTAAATAAACAAAAGAAATATAGCAAAAACTGGTCAACATAAGGCGTTTCTATTATTGTCACCATTGCAAATTACAAATCTCTTAAAAAAGGCCGGGATCCCGGGATTAACATCCCTATTTTGCACTGCTGTACTGCTCGCATGGGAGCGTAATGGGAGATCTCCTAAGCACGTAATTAAAGAATGCTCTCTGAGGCATGATTTGGGAGCAATAAGCGAGATTTGCAGGTTTTCTACTCTGTGATTGCTCGCTTACATTTGTTTAAACTTATAAATGATTGTATTATTTAACTCAAAATGTATTTCAGATTGTGGAGTCAGCATTTAAAGCGTCTAAGTTCCAGCGTTTCCAATCTTGCCCCATCCACAATTTTTACTGGTTACAGCCGGAAATTGCCAAAGGAGTGAATCAAATAATTTTTCCAGGAAAGCATCTTCGCTACACAAATCTTGTGGATCATATAAAAATATATACCTATGTATGTACATTAGGGTGGTCCAAAAAAATGCATGTGACAAAGTAAAGTCGAAATATTTATGCCATCACCCCCTAGGATTGTTCTATACCGGAAAAATATACGCCTTTTTTATTTTGAAACCAAAAAATATTTATCTTTTTTGGCTTATTTAACCATTGTCTCTTTGCAACTATAATTTATAGGTCCGCCAAAAACCCACAAAAACTC